GTAACAGCCTTCCAAACACATAGCAAATACTTGATAGCAAATACCAGCAGTTTCGTACCACTGTGCCAATTTTGGATTCAACATTAAATTTTTTGACCAAATGGAATCTCATCCAAAGTCTTGCTAAAATACATGTAGACCACATTAAACATGTTATCCTCACTGATCTTTTTTCTTCCCTTGTCAAACAAATCTAGTCAAGTTAGTCAAACACAACCTTAAAAAACAATGACAAAAATTGGTGGTGTTTTTGATAGTGAGGAGGATGGTCTCAGGCTCCAGTCTGATATTGATCAGCTGATAAATTGGGCAGAGCATGGCAGGTGGAATTTAATCCTAATAAATGCAAAGTGATGCATCTGGGGAGGTCTACTAAGGGAAGGATATACACAATGAATGGCAGGTCCCTAGCGAGTACTGAGGAACAAACCTTGGTGTACAAGTCCACAAATCCCTGAAGGTGTCAGCCCAGGTAGACAGGGGGTGAAGTAGAAGGGAAGCTTGCCTTTATTAGCTGAGGAATAGAATACAGGAGCCAGGAAGTCTTGTTACAACTTTATACAACATTGGTTAGGCCGCAGACAGAATACTTTGTGCAGTTCTGCTCACCACACTATCATAAAAATGTGACTGCCATAGAGAGGGTGCAGAGGAAATTCCCCAGGATGTTGTCTAGGATAAAAAAATCTCAGTTATGAGGAGAGACTGGATAGGCTGGATTTGTTTTCCTTGGTGCAGAGGAGATGGAAGTGTACAAACTAATGTAAATTATCTAATTGAGGTAAACAAAATTATGAGAGGCATAGAAACAGTATCATCGTAGAATCCCTACAGCATGGAAACAGGCCATTAGGCCCAACAAGTCCACACCATCCCAACTCATTCCCCTACCCTTGCATTTCCCCATGTTTAACCCACCTAACCTAAATATCCCTGAACACTACGGGCAATTTAGCATGGCCAATCCACCTACCCTACACATCTTTGGACTGTGGGAGGAAACCCATGCAGACACGGGGAGAATGTGCAAACTCCACACAGACAGTCGTCAGAGGGTGGAATTGAACCCGGGTCCCTGGCGCTGTGAGGCAGTAGTGCTAACCACTGAGCACTGTTTGAGCAGGTAGTGGAGGCAGGTACTCTCGCAACATTTAAGAAGCATCTGGACGATTACTTAAAATGCCAGGGCACAGAAGGTTATAGACCAAGTACAGATATATAGTATTAACGTCATTTGGTGTTTGTTGGTCTGCATCAACATGGTGGCCAAATGGCCTGTTTCTATATGTTATGTCTCTGAAATCCTTGCAGACTGTCCTTGATTGATCTGTGCCTAAGGCGAAGGACTGAAGAGGAGGATATCAAATTCCTCTGTTGTACGGAAGGAGTTAAATATTTCATGATTTACCCACATTATTAAAGTCCATCACGTTTTGAGGTATTCACACAGATACATGTACAAATGGCAAGAGATAATAAAAACTTGTATATTGCAATGTCCATCACAGCTCAATTGTTAAATCTCATTTAACAGAACAGAAAAAGGCTGTCACAATGCAGTATTAACGTCTAATTGACACGGACAAGTATAGTAAATGAAGTGTGACTGGCCTTTAGGAAACACATGGATGGTTTGTAACGTGTGGAGTTCAGAAATCCTAAATAATTTAAGTAGTCAGAACCTCATCTAAAGAATGCAGCTACATAATTACGATGATTAGATCAAGTCATAATTTCAAAACATTTACTTCTTGTTGTTAGCAACAAAAAAAAATTGATGGATTACTGCTTCACTTTGACAACGTGGAGCACTACTTTTGGAATCTCACACCCATTGCTAAATTTCTCACTTCTCAAGTGTTACAAACATGTGCTTTCTGAATATATGTAATAGACATTCATTACATTAAGCCGTTAAAGCCTTTTATAGTCACTTCATATTCAAGGCTAATTTTTTCCAATCATAAGAAAATCTATGAATTCTAAAACCCTTTGGTACATTTTGTTAAGTGCAAAATTTAATTTCTCTCGCAAACAAACACTTTTCTATTTGATTTTTAAAACTGTTCAGCAGTGAATTACAAACCTGGACAAATCTCATCCCAAGTATGAGTTTACATATTATATGAAAAAGGTTGATCATTTGCACCATCATTGCAAAAGAAAGCCATATGGCTGTGTCATCTTCCTCCACGTCAATACAGAAACTGTTCTAGACTATGCACTTGATTCTATGAGCAAGCGAAGTTTATCAAGCCCCTAATAGACAGTGCTCTCAAGTATTCAAATGTTATAATTTCATGATTGCTAGTTTAGAAATACAAATATTGATCTGCTCCGGATTTTAACACGTGATCGATTAACCTCTTCAAATAAGTGAAGATATGCATGCTTACTGTAGGCAACTTGAACATGCACATAAATTGTGAACTATATCTTTAAAAAAATTGCTGATTAGGTTTCAGAGATCCTGCATTTTTAGTTCAGCGCACAAAAATTCCTTGCTCTCAATTTTTAGAGAAAGCAAGCACAGAACTGAAGAATGCATACGGCTTTGAAAAAAAGAATTCATTACTTAGCAAGAAACGTGGGCTTGAAGTTTCCCAGGTCAGTCTTGCCTGCCCATGGGCCTACACACCACCAAACAATCTCTATAGCTTGATTAAGATGTTCACCTACAGATGTGATAGCAAAATATAAAAGTGCTACTCAGTATAAGAGCAAGAGAGAAAACAGAGAATTACAGGCCAATTAGCATGGCATCATTCTTTGGGAAATGTTAATATCTATTATTACATGTTATCAAGATGCTTAGATAATCACATTGCGGAAGTCAAAGAGTTTTTATGAAAGGAAAGGAGGGTTTGACAAATCTATTAGAGCCTTTTGCGATATAACTCTCAGGGTAAACAAAGGAGAACAACGTTTACAGCATGGCAAGATTGCAACAAAGTTATTTCACACAATAAGGGTTCATACTATCATAGATTGCTTAACCATCAGAAAGCTAACAATAGGAATAAGCAGATAATTTTTAGGTTAGCTGACTGTGACTAAATGGGTGTCACAAGGATCAGGACTATTTATGACTTAGCTAAAAGGGGACACTGGAATATGTCCCAGTTTGATGGTGATAATAATCTAAGTGGAACAGCAAGCTGTAAAGAGAACACAAAAGAATAATTAGATGGGTTAGTGAATGGACAATAAATTGTTGGATGAAGTATTTTGTGGGGAAAGACAAATGTAGAAGGAAAAACAATAGTGAGGAATTATTAAATGTTAATGTTGAGAGATATTTGAATATTTTCGTACAAGGGGAAAAAGGAAAGTTAGTATTCATGTACAGAAAACAAATGGGTTTTTTTTGCTGCAAATAACTAGTGTGTAGGAGTTAAGAAACTGGCTACAATTGTATAGGGCTTTAGTGATGCAAGTCCTGAAGTACTGCTCACAGCTTTGGTCTTCAGTTCCAAAAAAAAAATCACAAATTCTTTGAAGGCAGTGCAGCATATGTTCACCAGATTGGTTCTTGGGTTCATTCTGCTTTCTTATGATGACAGGCTGAACAATTGGGCTTATGTACTCTGGGCTTCATAAGAACGAGAGGGAATCTCATTGAAACAAAAGATTCTGATGGTAGATGTAGAGTTGATGCAAAGATCTTGCTTTTCCTGGCTGATGAGCCTAGAGCAAGGGGATACATTCTAGATATACCAGGTTGATATTATAAGACTAAGGTTACATGGACTTAATGGAATCAAGAGATAGGGGGATTGAGTGGGCAAGTGAAATTAAGGTCAAGGATCTGCCATGATATTGAAAGGCAGTGTAGGCTCATGAGATGGAACAGCTTATTTTGGCTCCTCCTCCTCTATGTCCTAACATTCAAAGATGATCAAAACATCTTCCATCTATTATGCTCTGTTAACAAATTATGCCTGATAAATGCCCTACGTGCCAGACAAAGCAAGGAAGGTGTATGAAAAACAGTTCACTAACACAGCACACTACCCTAACTGCTCAAAACAAATTGCTTGAATGGGAAAAACTTCAAGAGCCCAAAAGATCAAAGAGCTTTGCCATTTGTTTTCTCACAAATGTAGTTGGTGTCAATATATATCATTTGCCCCTAACATCAATATTTATTAATTACATAATTAATAATTATAGATGAATCTTTTCAAGTGTATAAGGTTTTCAGGCTCCTTGCCAGTTATCTTCATCAATATTTCATTTACATTGAAATTAATTCATTCAATAAAACAAAGAATTCATCTTGAATCTCAGTATCAGATTCTGCTGGAATGCAATTCTCTGTTCCATGAGCTTGGCCACATAATGTACAAGGCCATCCTCATGGTCTCACCTTGTTAGTGTAACTCTTGCTTTGTCCTTGCATTAGTAAAGCATAAACTGCCAGCTATGTAACCATCAACACAGCTCTAATAAAGTTGGTTTGTTAATCAAGGATTACCACAAAATTAGAAGTCTTTAAGCAAATGATTACTTCAAACAAAATGAGAACTATGTATAAAAGACCACTGGATGTACATTGTTATTGTTTTCCCCAATCTATTCACTTTAAAGGATCGATTTCTATCTGCTATATGATTATGTAATTAAAGTTGGTGGAATTTGGAAAATATCAATATAAATATGACACCATTCTAAGTATATCTAAAGGCTTACACTTCTGATGTTATATTTGGCAACTGTGTTGCCATCTATGCATGTGAAAGTGTCCTCTTCAAAATGACAGCATTAACTGTTTCACTGAGGAAATTGGTTCCAATTTACAATTGTATAGATTTTCAATATTCATCTTGCCACTGCATCTATAAAGACTAATGTAAGATGTGTTTCTATGAAATTAACTTATTGCCAAATATATGCATCATATTCATTTTCCACAACAAAATGAGACAAAGCAGCAAAAAGTACAATTGATGGAACCTGAAAAAGATAAAGGTATAAAGGAACCACAATCTATAAAAGACTTACTTATTCCATGCATGTCGAAGTTTTTTAGAACTATACTGTGTGAAACGATCTGCAAGAAAAAGAGATGGGTTACGTGTTTTCTCACAATCAACTATTTAACTTAATCACTATGCCATTACCTTGAATATAAAGACAGAGTTTCAGATAAGATTAGGAAATTATCATGAGACGCTTATATTTATAATGCTTTTCATTTACAAAAAATATTTGAAAGGCTATATAATTACAACATTTATGCAAACAGCATAAAGGATGAGAAGACACTACACAGGAAACATCAGACAAATTTTCTCCTGCATGTGGAGGCGCTTCATTCAGCGCCTTTAATGATTGAAGGCATTTAGCATCATTGCTCATTCTCTATGTAAATCTTATTAATTTATCCTGCAGGATTTACCTGAGCAGATGCAGCTGGATCATTAAATCAGGACTGCACACTGACGTTCCCACAATTTTCACTTTTTTAAATTACCACAAATCTAGCATTTTGCAGAATGCAATTTGTGTTCACTGTAATGCTAGTCGATAGCTAACTATACTAATTACCTTGGAAAGACTCGACAGTATGAAGTGATAACAGGTAGCTCAAGCCTCCAGCATTACTAGATGGTACAACACAGTGGCTTAGTGGTTAGTCCCTGGCATTGTAAAGCAGCAGTACTACGGTTCAATTGCAACCTTGGGTGTTCGTGTGGAGTCTGCATGGTCTCCCTGTGTGTCAGTGGGTTTCCACCGGGTGCTCCAGTTTCCTCCCACAATGCAAAGATGTGGAGGTTAGGTGGAATGGCAATGCTAAGTTGTCCAGCGATGTACAGGTTAGGTGGAATAGCCATGGTAAATGCAAGGTTACGGCGAAAGGGTAGGGAACTGGGTCTGGGTGGAATGCTCTTCGGAGGGCCAGTGTGGACTTGTTGGGCCGAACGACCTCTTTCTGCACTATGAGGATTCTATGATTACTCCTATCCAATCTACATTACACTTAAAAAGAAACAATCAAATTGCATTTGTAGAGGGACAAAACATGAATTGTATGAAGTTGTATTTTTGCTTTTTGAGGCCTGGGTCAGAGCCCGCTTGGATCAAATGACTGCAAATTCAGTCACCTCATCATGAAAAGGAGCTTACTGTCTTGAAAAGCTATGTTCAACAAGGAAGGCTTCGATGTATGAACAGTTATGAGTGTATATGGAGGATGTTGGTCTGTATTATTTAGAAAAGTGATACAATTGAAGTTTTCACAAATATGAATGACATTGACAAATTTAATGCTGTCAAACCTTCACTCTAACCATAAAATTAGTAAGCAGGGAAAGTCACTGAAGTTGACAAAACAAATTTGGGACATAATTTGGTGGTGTCTGTGCAGAACACGTTGAGGAGTGAAATGAGATAGTGGGAATTTGAAACAAACAACAGAAACTGGTTTGTCAGCCCTTCTTTTCAAATTTATTCTCAGGGTATTTGAAAAAGGCCAGGCTCTTTCCAATAGCTACCACATGCTGTTGTTGGACTTATCTCTAAGTGTTGAATCTTCGCAGTGACAGGGTTGCTTGATTAGTTAGGTATGAAATTATTGGATACTAACCCAGTCATAATGAAGGAAAAACATTATATGTCCAAGTTAGGGTGATGTATGACACAGGAATTCGGGGACTCATGACATTAAGGCTCCTGATCTTCAGAACAGTAGATAGCGTGGAGCTGAGGAATGTTGTCAAAATATCCACAGCCTTGCATCACAGTAGCAGAGCTGCTGATCAAGTTCGTACTGAATGTGCTCAGCTTCTGCAAACTGCAGCAGGAGCCCCTATCCAGGCAAATAAACTGTCAAATAACATGTCCTGAGAAATGTAGAAGGTTTTAAATGGTGTAGGAGGCAGGGTAGTTAGCTCAGAACACTCAACCTCTGCCTTTCTCTTGTAAACACAAATTTTCTTATGATCAATGGAGAGCTCCATATCAATGGTCAAGGATTCAGCAATGATGAATTCACAAAATATCAAGTGTTTTTTTTGGTGGGGACGGTTTGTAGCCGAGGTGTTTCAGATGGCCATAACTTGACATTCACATCATGCAATATTACTGGCCACTTGTTGACCCAAGCCTCAATGTTGTTCAGTTTCTGGTTACAATCTGTATGGACCATTTCTGTATCAGGTGGTGATGTGAATGGAGTTGAATACTGTGAAAATTGTAACTAACTGACCTATGACTGACTGACCCTCATTTCTGCTTCTTCTTTAATTGCAAGGCACAAACAGTATCCATCACAATTCCAACAACATCCAGAAGAATCCATTTTCACTTTGGGGTCAGAAACAAAGTTGCTCAAATGAGAAAAATTTAATCAAATATATTTCCAATTTCAAACCTTCTCTTAGATTCACTTGGTCCATCATGACTCTTACCTTCTCTTTATTTTATTACCTTTCTCTTTATTAAATGGAGACTTCAGTCTCCATTTTGGAAATAGGCTTTAGTACAATACCCACCATAAGTCCAAGGACTCTCACATGGTTATCTAGGCTACACTTCAAACAAAGACTATTTCATTCTCTTAGACTCTGTCTCCAACATGTCTGTCCTGATGATTTCACCTTCTGTGACACTGCTTCCAATTCTTACAAAAGAAAAGCAGAGGTTGGGTGTTCTGAGCTAAGTACCCTGCCTCCTACAGCCTTTAAAGCCTTCCGCATGTTCCAACACACATTATTCCAAACCAACAATTCCACTTCCCACAACCAAAAATGGCAGACCTCTCAGCCAACTGTTCCATTTTGCACTCCTACTTTGACCCCTTCCTCCTCTTCTCAGTATCACAGTAAGGTTTCCTTGTCCTCCTCTTCTCCCACAACCAAACATCTTTCCTTCTAATCTGTGTCCAGCATTCCAGAGAGATCATTATTTACAATACCCTTTCCCACGCCTCAATCATTACTGTCCCAGGGAAACTTCTAGACAATTGCAAATGCAGTAGCATTTGTACTTTCTTACCTTCTCTCTTCACATCATTTAAAGCATCACACTCTTCACAGTCAAATAGTGATTTGCCTCTATTTCTCTGCTTTTGAATTTAGAATACTGTATTCAGAGCTTACAGCACTCTGAGCCCACCAAACCAAACAGTCAGAATTTCTGGTTGTCATGTTAACTCTTCATCCCACTACCAATCCAGCATCTCTGTCTTTGAACTCAAAATTTCGTTCCAATGAGATTTCAGTAAAGCCTGAAAAATGACACTGCATCTTTCAATTAGAAACTTAGGAACCTTCTAGAGTCGGCCATTTAAGCCAGAAATGAGGAGGAATGTCTTCTTTCAGAGGGTTGTGAATCTGTGGAATTCTTAACTGTAGAAGGCTGCTGAAGCTGATCCTGAAGTAAATTCAAGGCAGAGATATATGAATCAAGACTTGTGTGGAAAAAGCAGGAAAGGAGTTGAGGATTATCAGATTCGGCCATGATCTCATTGAACAGCAGACTCAATGGGCCGAATAACCTACTTCTCCTTCTACACCTCATGGTCTTATGGACTCAACATTGACTTCAACAATCTCAGATGACTTTTTTCTGAAAAACAACTATTGATGATGATTCTATTCTTTTTATTCATACGCCTCCCCTCCATACCTAACCTTTACTCCTTCAGGTCCTTTATCATCTCCATTTGCCTTAAGTCATCACCTTTGAGTCACATCATTTCTCTTGCTTTCAACTTTATCAAAAACTTTATTTTTTTTCTTCCTCTGCTGCCCACTTTCCCCGATTCTTCAAAACTTGTTACAACCAACATTTTACATTTCTGCCCAACAGTTAAATGACTGGAAACAGTAGTCAAAATTTAAGGGTCGACATTTCCAGTTAACATACGGACTCCGAGCAGAATTTAGATGGCCACAGAAGTCAGAGTCATTGTTCAGTAGTAGACAAAAAGGAAGCTGGAAGAACACAGCTGGTCGTCAGGCTGCATCTGGAGGAAAGG